TTTCGAAAACATCGCCAATCTTACATCAAACCTCGAAAAATTGTGTTTTGGGTCGTCTGTGGAAAATTCGCCCAGTTCAAATCATCACCTCATCTAGATCAGCAATTTGAGGAAGTTGAAATATTTGTGTATTAACCTGACAACTCTAACGAATAATTTGATTGATTCTCTCATTGAAAATAATGTTCCCATAGAAACTTTTGTAATTCCGGGTATTTGGAGACACATTCCCATATGTGAATTGAATATCTCGCGACTCAAACTTTTAAAGAAACTGTATCTGCCGGAAGTTTCAGATGAAACACTTATCGATTTAGTTCAAAATCTGCCGGAATTGCAAGAAATTGTCGTTGAAGGAATCATCACATTAAATGGTACTAAGAGAGCCTTGCAATATGGAAAACACTTATCTGTGCTCATGGTGGGTGTAAATGAAACGTCTATAGATTTGGATGACTACAACTCGGTTTTAAATTTAGCAAAGCTGGCTGGTGTTAAAGTGACAATCGGTGTTGAAAGTCGTAAAGTAAATGTTCCCGAAACATATTAGAAGAAAATCGTATGTGGCTAGATATAACAAGACGTTTATCATCTGCGATATTGACTTACGGAGTTTTTTTCTGATGATGGCAATACTGAATGCAATGTACAGTACATCACTACTTTAATACAAATTTAAATAATTGGAAACCTTCCAGTATTCGCAGGTATTTGAAACAAAAAGATGATAATGTAGCCAAAAAATAACCAATAAAACTATTTTGGAAACAAAAACGCAAAATCTTGTAAATGTTTTCTGTCAATGTTCAACTTCAAATGAATAATTTATTTACAATAATTCATCGACGAAGAAAAAGACTTTGGAGGAGAAAAAGAAGCAATAAAATATAAATCGGGAAAATCAAAATCGACCGTTGCAAACTCTTCAGCAAGCGATAGCTTTGTACAAAACGTAACACTATCAAAATTTGCACAAAATCACGAAGTGCATGTTGGCCTTGTGATGTTGTCCAACGTCAATGGCTGCATACATTTGAATTGTTTATTAACCGCACCTTTGAGGTCTAGTTTAGCTCATGTGAATGCCTAAATATGCGAGCGATTGCCGTTGGTCATCAACTGAACTAATTACCTGAAATAATTGCGAAACACGACAGCCTCACCATTGAGGAGAGACAATTTGGTTTGGCCAAGTAAAATTCTTTACTTAACTCAATAAAAAATTCTTCGTATCAATTTTGCTCTTGCACATAAATTCTTCTAACAAAATAACAGCTGTTGATCATCGAGATAGAGTCTCTTCACGCAACGATTACATAAATTGGTCTTAAATGCGCAAATAACGGAATTGAAAGAAATTCAAAAAAATCACTTGCTCAAAAAATGAAAAAAGAGAATACATGCACCGTGAGCGCAGACAGCGAAGCGAAGAAATAAAAGTCTCGCATACAAACGAAAGGCAACGAGAAACAGAAAATCACAACATCAACAACATTCAACATTGTCTAAGTCTAAGTTGTATTCGTTTGATACAATGCAGATCTATAAACATAAAAATGGATTTGGTATATTTGTTGTTCATTGTTCGACGTTTACGTGCGCTTATGCGCTTGAAATACATAACCATCGGGGTAATCACATAACGAAGGCGAGAAAAGAGAGAAAAAAAAGCGTATGTGTACCAAACTCAATATAGATTGATGTCGTAATAGTGTATATGTGCTACGTGAGCTGTTGCTGATGTTGTTGTTGTTGTTATTGCTGCTCTGGAAATGTGCGCGCCATGGTAAAGATAAGTTTGCTATTTCCAAAGACTCGACACATTTTAGCTGAAGCATTGTTCGCATATCGCATACGCTTTGACTTTACATATTATTCGACCGTTTTTTTTAATTCCATATCTCGTTGTCATTTTCTCTCTCGCTCACTCTTTTGCGCTGCTTAAGTTGGCTGACTGCCGTTAGCTGTATAGTTGACGCGCACGCACGCGCGCACCTCGTTTATTTGCACTGCACTTTCACTTATCCATATAATCAATGTGTGTTATATCGGTGTGTCGGTCGGTTGATTAAGAAGTCGATGGCGCGCTAGCGTACGCTCGCACATTCGGTAGCATGAAATCAAGTTTCTCACCGTGTTGTATGGTCACCAGATAAGCGATCGCTACTCAGCATTTCTATCGGGTTTTTAGCAAACTGTGTCACTTTCAATTTTTTTTCCTACTGTCGGAATCGGAAACAACCAAATGCCATGCCAATAGCAGAAAAAAATATCGTTGTAATTAAACATTGTATTTCATTGGCCGAACGGTACAATTGTGTGGTTACGTATTCAAGCATTATTACATTTTAGCTCGGCAATTGTGTGTCATTCCGTTTTGGATCGTTTACTTTCTTGTCTCGACAACGACGGTCACATTCTAACTGAACCTCACCGTTTTCACCGTCATCGGCGGTAGTCATCGAAGTTTCTCGACTCAGAAATGCGATTTCAAAGTCTTCTTCGGGGGCTCAATTTCGGTTGAGTACACCTCACCGTCTTGAAGACAACATGACTCAGCGCACGTATACTTTCAGGTGTGTGTGTGTGTGTGTGTGTATGCTATGCCGTGTGCCATGTTGGTGATGGAAGAAAGTACTATATATGCTTGTGCTGGTGCCTAGTGCTGGTGTTGGTACATTATGTGGTTTTTCGATGGCGGGAATTATACAAACAAAAGTTTTGCGAAATCAAAGCAAAACCCAACAGCTCACACACACACACCGAAACCACAAAGATCACATATACTATGCATATGTATGGAACGACAAACGAAAACGAAGAATCAAAACAAACAAATCGACTGAAAACAACTAAGCCTTTTTTTCTGCGCGCTGCCTGTTAAATTATGCTTCACGAAATTGTCGTTGGGTTTCGTACGAGCGGTGTGTGCGCGGGTCTATTTACTTCTTCGGTTGGCGTTGGTTTTTTTTTGCTGTATTTTCGTGTGTTTTACTCATGTATTCGGTAATAGGCAAGTGAATTTTCCACTTATATCTGCATGTGTGTTGGAATTTGGCTCTTTTTTTTCGACGTCGACAACGACAACGACGGTTTGCCTTGGGTTTGGAGTTTTTTATTTGTCCATTCGATCAATTCGTAACATATGATTTTTCGCCGTCAACGATTTTGGATGCAAAACTCTCTGAGTGCTGTGGCCTGAGTGCAGTGCAATACCTTTTTTTTCCATCAACCGTTCGCTTGTTTATTCATTCTCGTTCGATATTCAAATTTTGATTCGTTTAACTTTTTTGTTTTGTTTCGTGTTCATTATCTGGTAACCACCTGCGGTAATTGCAATTTTTTTTTTTTTGAGTTCGGTTTGTGTTTTTTCGAAATTGTGATAAATAACAATAACAAAAAATCAATTAAAATCATTGATAAAAATGTGTTCCGTGTGTCTCTGAAATGCCAGCTTTTTTTATCGGTCGCTGGAATTTCGTTATTTATCACCGCTGTGCAGCAGCAATGGCAGTAGAGAGGAATACTGTTTTTTTTGTTCTGTTTCTCGTTTACCACAAAAACCAAAACTCATTGAACTCCCTTTTTGGCCTTTATCATGCAAATTATTATTTTTCGCGCACAAACGATTAACATTTTTTTCACCACTGGAACAACGCCATAATTAACTTTATCCCGTCTCTTTATCAAAGTGTGTACCCATGTGATGTGCGCATGAAATTGCATTTTTTTTTTCACTCACACTGTCAATTCAATCTATTATATAAATCAACATCTCGACTGATGCTGCTGCTGCGTTACATTATTTGGTTTAATTAAAATTTTCGGTTTAACTTTAATTTAAATTTAAATCAAAAACTGATGATTAATTTCGCATTATTTTTTTGTTTTGTTTCGATCTTTTAGTGTGTTTTTTTTTTATTCTGACGACACATAGAAAAATAAAAAAAATTGGTAACAAAAATGCGACTCCAAGTGATATTCCCGTCTCTAGCTGTATTGTCAGCAGTGATATTAACCATAATGGATTTTAGTGGTAAAGCGGTGAGAGCACAAGATAGCGAGCCATTATTCGAACTACCTGTACAATTGGTCGGATTTCCTGTCATCATTTTGGCCGTGCGATTCTCAAATTTTGTGAAAAAATTGGCATATTCCGTTAACCCAAGTAAGTGTTTTTTGTTCGAAACGAAATGAAGAAAATAAAGCACCGTTATTTTTGGTTGCAAAACTTTCCTTTATTTAATAAAGGAAAATCAAGTTTAACGGTCATAAAGCAGCAACAATCATCAACAATACCAACCAATTTTACTCTCCTTTCATTCCAAATCTCACCGAGCTCTCTTCATCTCATTACGTAAAAGTGCATGGAAACAAAGAAAGAAAAAAACGCAGCAACAAACGAGTGGAATGCAAAACAAAACCCAAAGACAAAAAACATGAAAACGAATTAAAATACGAATGCAAAATCCGATTGTCACAAGTGGTGAAAACGATAGCTCCGACAAAAAAAAAATGAAACCAGTTTACAGGCAGCCGCACACAATCAATCAATGTTTGATAAGTGTTATTAACATCGATGATTGCACAAAAGAGTGAAGTGTTTCCAAATCACAAGCGTGCGGTAACGAAACGATTGACCTCGAAAGAAAGAGACGACGAAAAAAAAGCAGGAAATTTATTCAAGTCTATGTTGTGTTTGGTAAATCATTGCGGTGTGTTGGCTCGTTTAACATCTAAATTTAAGCCACAGATCGATTGGAAAAAACGATTGTGAAATTTTGCCTGATTATTAACGAAATATTATGTAGATTATGTGGTTTCTTATATGATGCGGTGATTTGATTTAGGGCATGTAAGATGACCATTCAACTTCTGAATGCCGTTTAGCCGCACTATTTGACGATATTTGATTTGTATTTCATTTTAATGGTTCTGGTCGAATCATATCAGATTAAATCTGAATTAAATCAAACAAAATGTAATCAGATCCAAATTAAGACTCAAATTCGAGTTCAGATTCTGATTGAAATTCAGCTTCAGATCAAATCTTAACCAAATTGCAGACCCAACGTCTAGAAAGTCTCTAGATCAAATCAGTCCATTTCTACGATCGTTGTGTAATTTCTCCAAATTGACATTTTAATCGAGTTCGCATTATGAAATCATATTATGCGACCGTTTACTTCGGCAATCAAATGAAATGTCAACCAGCAACCTTGCCTCACTTTGGCCGCTAACTTAGGTCGGTTAGTGCGTGTAGGCAATTTTCCAAATTGTGTGTTATTAAAAATTACAACGTCGCAAGATTGTCATAAATTGACACATTTCCAACTTGAATTTGACCATTTTCAGCTAAATTGGATGATTTTCGAATCATCAAAGGTCATTTGTTGACAACCAATGGTGGTTGTTTCGTCGACTGATTGTTTCTTTGTCCATCATGTTTCTTGAACCATCAGCGTGGTTCAAAATATATGCTTCATGTAGGCAATAGCTTCAAATTGTTTTATGAAAATGTCTAAGCGTTTGAATTGTTGTCTCATTTGTTTACTTAAAACATCGCCGACTATAAATGCGATGGAAGAGTTTTCGAACAAAATTCCGAAATTGGACCATTCGAAACGGTTGTTTGTTGTGCACGAAATTCCCACTAAATGTGTATAAAACGAAATGGTAACTGTACATTTGTTGAAATTCAACCAAAATAAACGTGAGAATGACCTCAACAAGTGACAATTTATTCTCTCAAAGAGTTATTTGACGAATAACTTATTCGTTTAAAGAGAGAAGCAAGAAGAAGAGAGGCAAAATGAGAAGAGATAAAAAGATAGAGTGGAAGAGAAAAGGCAAGCCAAACATTAAAATGAAAGAGAAACCACAAACTAACCGTTAAAAAAGCGAAAGAAGATGTGCACACAAAAGTCCGAAAGCCAAACTGAGAAGAAAAAAAACCCAAGCTCGAAAAGTGATTTCAATTTCCAACGTGTATTTTCTGAGAATGTGTTCTTTTGCAATCGTGCGCGCGCATCAACGACCGGCCAAGTGAGACATTACAAAATATGTGAGAATGCCGTGGAATATTGATTGGAGTGGAACAGCGGCTGAAAATTGGTGTGGCTGGAAGTCACGTACGCGTAATATCTGATCTAAACACATAACCGGTAAATGTTGCAAAATGTCAGAGCACGGTGTGCATCGACGTGCGAGAAATTGCCAACTAAGCTGAGCACCTGAACAAGACGCGCGCCAATCATTTTGCTCTTTAATTCTGCAATTTTCTGCGTGCAAATAAAATATCTATTGCTACGACCTTGAATCCGTTCCGTTTTGTTGTGTGATTTATTGTTTCCTCTTCACTTTCTTCGTGTACACTTTCTGCACTACTAAACCACTATACGCATTGTAAATGGATTGTAACCGCTATGTTTTCTTCACCGCGATGTTGTTTTCTTCTTCTTCTCTTTTTTTTTATATGACCGATTTATTTTGGATGTTACAGAAACCTATCAATCACGAGTTCGACGTGCGTCTTTGGATTATGATTCGTCAAGTGATGAATTCACACCGCCATCCGTCGATATCGACTATGCCGAAAAGAAAATTTTGAATGAATACGGTCCAAAGGCGTGTGTTATCGAAGAGCCATGTAAAGTGCACGCTTCGAGACCAGGACGGGCCGGTGCACAACCAGATTGGGCCGATATTTTGAGGTAATTAATTATTAATTTAGTTATCAAACACTTGGCTAATTTATGGTAAAAATTTGAATGATCTAATTGGACTTGTTTTTTCTTTTGCATAAATTCGCATGGCAAGAAATTACGATATTTTTTCTGTTATCTAATATCGTAAAGCGTGAAAATAGCTGCGATATTTTTTGCACTCTATTAACTCGAAGCAAAAAAAACCACATTGTTTCATGCAATTTTTAAGGTGTAAAAAAGTAAATCGGGCTCATTTCAATTGCAAACTCATTTAAAATCATCGTTCGCTTTGTTTCGTATGTACGATTAGCGTGAGTTCGACTGAGCACGTCAATTGATGTGTTTATTGGCCTCATTAAATTAACTGCGATGTGTTTTTTTTTGCAAAAAAAAAAGAAATTCGAGACTATGAAATAGTTTTATTTAATCACTTTTTTTGATTTTCAGTTATTTAATCGATTTTTTTTTGGTTTTTTTTTCCATCAAAATTTTTGATTCAAAAATTTCCTTCTAGAAATTACAAGATCCAACGAAGTGGTATGAAGCAATGGTACTTGCTGTCGGTGTTTCTTGGTGATGTGATCCGTGATCCAACATTATGCAAGCGACTGGCCAAACGTATTCCATGCAATAGGGACATAACAAAAGCCCATGTCAAATACTAGAATAAATGCATAATTTATTTCATAGGTTTCATAGGTTTTACTTTAGAAAAGTGCGTCTTTTTTGTATTCATCGAAAGAAAAATTGTCTACCTTTTTGTAAAAAAAAAAATTGTTACTCTTTTTTTATGTAATTTCTAAAACAAACAAATAAATTATAAATTGTGTACATAAGTGAGAAATCGTCCACGGTGCTCGAAAAATGTTTTAAAAATTAAACGCAGTTTTATTGTTCAGAGGGAAAAAAAATCATTAGCAGCGGAAGTTCTGTAATACATAATTGCAGTTTGGAAAAGGAAAAAAAAATACTGAGAATGTTCATTTCCGAATCGAGGACCGAAATTAAAATTGACAAAGTGATTTTTTCCTTCAAAATGCTCAATGACAATGAACAAGCTATAGATACGAGAATAAATGCGCAATGGCAATAAGTAGAAAAGAATGGAAAAGAATAACACACAAAAGCAGACTGGGCACACTATGGAAAAGAATTATGAGCAAATGATTATGACAAAGAATTACGACTGTGAAAAAGAATGACTGAAAATCGCTCTCCGAATGCTAAATGACAATGAATGCAACAGAAGATTGGGTTCAGTAGACAATCAACCATTTGGATTCGGTAACGATAGACAATCGACCATATGGTGTATTGTCATCGCCGAAAAATGATGAAACAACAATAAAGGGTGCCATAATTGTCAAATAATTACCGCACAACAGCCGGACAACGACGATAAAATGTAAATAAAAAGCAAAACGAATTAGATTTTCGAAGCCTTTTTCGGATAGGTGACAAATGGCCCAAGAAAACTTCAACAGTAGAAACCGCTTAATAATTTCAAACGGTGTTTCACATTAAACTATAGTGAAATTTGTCCATATATTCATAATGAAATCGATAAATGATTCGTCGGATATAACAATGTTTATGCTCACGTAACACAAAAGTGTAATAACTTTTATATGATAATGCATTAAATGCATACACAATTTTAATGTCATGTAATTTGATAAAGAGAGCTCTTAGCCGAAACTAGAAGTCGAATTAACACATTTCATTGTTTTGGTTTTTTTTTTCTTTATTTCGCTCACTCTTACTCTCTCTCTCCCTCTTTATCTGTCTCTCTCACTTTTTTCCATGTCTCTCTCTTTCGCTCTTCCTCACTTTCTTTCTCTTTCTTTCTCTTACCTTTTCTCTCTTTTTCTATCTTTTTCTCTCTTTCTCGCTCTTTCGCTCGTTCTATCTCCCGCCTACGCTTTCTTCATAATTAAATAAAAATAATTATTTGTTGTCATTGCCATGACTGCACTTCACCCCAAAAATGTGCAAGCACGTAAAGCGACCGCATTGGAAATACAAATAATATAAATGGAATTCAACAACTGTTGAAATCACATAAAAATCTGCGTTGCAACTGCATTTAACTACGAATAAATAGAAACAATATGAATGTATGACAAACAGTGACCGTCTCACTATCCACAGTCCAACTTAAATCAAATATAAAACAAACGCAAATAAAATCAGTTATAATAAAAAATGGCATGACAACTGAAACCCCTAATGAAATAGCAATTATTTATCAATTAGCAGGGTTACGCTTACTTCGCCTCGAAACCCGTCCTCCACCTAATATGTAGAATTGAATATTATTTAAGGCGGTTTCGGTGATATTTCGAAGTTTGTTTCATTGATAAATAACCGCGGGACGTTTTTCGATACTAGAAAAAACCCGTGTTTGGTTAGAAACAAACGAAAAACCATGAATCAACGATTCGAGTCATTTGAATGATATATTTTTTTTTCTTCAAATCATTCCCTTGTCAGCGCCATAATTAAAGTTGTGAAAGTGAAATTAGAACTGTTAACTCGTCATCCCTTTATTCTCTAGCTGTTTCCGTGAATTGTGAAATTTACATTCAACGTGTGTTACACGTTCAAATATTTGATTAAAGCTAACTCAATTAAAAAGAAATACGTGTGTTTTGTCGGAGTCATAAAGCCGGCAAAACCAAACTTTGATCGATGTTATCTTCGGTTGAAAATGAAACGCCACTGAAATCTCATGCTTTAAGCCACCTTCAATTCAATTTAAAGGCATCAACGCAAAGTGCCAGAGATAAAATCACAAAATATCTAACGGATTGTTGAACAATTCAACACCATAATTTCCGTTTTGTTCGGCTGTAAATGAATGAGAATGCAGGAAAAAGTCGAATCGTAAAAAAACCAACATCGAATGATTGGTGCATGAAACGAGCACACTGAGTCAGCCACCGAAAGAGTTGTAAATGAGTGTGCCGATAAGTACGAATAGCAGATAGCGCACAAAGCGAAAAAAAGCAATTTATGACACTTGAAGAAGTTCAGCCAGATGTAAGTGCGCTACGATGCAAGAAAAAAAATCCATTCACAAAACGATTGCATTTCATTCTGTTGCGAAAAAGTTTCGCTTTACCTCTTTTGCATGTGTGTGTGTGTGTGTTGCTAAGACGGTCCGCTCTCGCACATGAGACTAACACACTGAACCAAAGAAGAAAAATCGGTGGAAACAACAACTGGAAATTACGTAAGAACAAACAGCTCTAGCAGTAGCGTGCTGAGAAAGAAGCACGTAGACAATAGTGGAGGGGAGATCAGTCGCTGTCGTCGTCAACGACGTTCAACACAGAGCCAAGCTGAGTCAAGCTAAAACAAAACGACAGCCACACAGAATAAAACGTGAAAATATTATTTAATTGTAAGTTCACGTAACCGATTCCAGTTTTCACTTTCAACTGGTTCCGTTTACTTGGCTTCAGACGACTCGATGAACCGAATAAATCAAAATGTGTGCACACAAAGCCGACCAGCAGGTAGCTGCCGTACGAATAAAATAAAAACTATTTCCATTCTTTGTAACAAACGACTTTAACGGCGGAATTACAGCAACGGATGTCGGAAATTTCGTAAGTAAAAACACTTGAACCAGCAAAATTTCGATCGGTTTGATTTATAGAAGTTTTACAAAGAAGAAATAACAGATTTTCGTTTTAAAATGAATATTTTCGTTCACAGTTTTTTTTCTAAAAAAAATTTCACCGTTTTCTTCGATGCACAAATCTTACTCGTAGGCTACAACTCGTAGCAGACATAAGTCGAAGTGAATTTTTAGTTTCTCATAGCAAAATATCTCAAAGTATTGTCAAGTTACCTGAAAATCCATTGTCAACGGTGTGAAGATGCAAGTTTTACCGTAATTAGCGATAACAGTTTTAAAAACTTTGTCATGCGCCAACTCTTTTGTTCGCATCTAATTGAAAAACTTCAACTCTCATTTTCAACATCATGCCGAACTAAAATTCGTTAAAAAGATTTCTTTTTGCCTTGTCGGAAATTGCATGAACTTCGTTATAACTTATATGAGATAAGTCGAATTAGTGTGTTTTGTCTCACGAATGGCTGTAGTCGCAATGATTCTTCGGCTTTAGTTGTAAAGTTAGATTCTTGGGCCGTAGCGTCTGGTGCAAAATTGATTTTCATTGAAGTCGCATGACAGAATCCACATCTACAGTCACACGATAGAATTCACCAAAAAGTACTTTGCAAGTACTATGGTAAGTCGGTAAATGGCGTATAAAAGCAGAGATAGGTATAAGAACATGCACTTTCTAGTACTTTTGTACATGGAAAAATTCGGCAACGTTAAAATGTGATGAACGACAATAAATCGACAGCATGAAATTCAATTTGTTCATTTTTGCGGTAATTTATTGTCTGCGTTTAGCTTTCAAACCGGTAACATTTGAGCCGCATCAGTTCCGAATAGTGTGCATCTTAATGAAAATCTGTTGTTCCTTATATTTTATTAAGCGTTCGAAATCGCAGAGAATGTGGAATAATCATAGAGAGAAAATCCAAATTGCAGACAAAGTCGAAATGGTAAGAAGTCGAAAATGAAATCGCAATAAGGGAAAGACGTATATGAGTCTCATCTGATGAGAAGATGTTCTCATTGCGAAATTTTATTATTTCCTCACATTTTTCTGTCTAGCGATAAATAATCAGCAATCTCTCCTGCCCCAGTGCATCATGGCAAACAAATAGAAATTGGAATTAATACAAATTGTTAATATTTAGTGTAACTATCGAGATTGAGCGGGGGGGAGAAAAAGAGGACTATCAAGAGAAAGATGAAGAGAAGAAGAGAATGAGAGAGAATGAGAAGAGGGAGAAATATTGACGGAAAAGATGACGAGATGATCTATATTACGGCGTACGGAGCGAAACATCATAAAACATGTGTGATGTGTCGTAAACCATCAAAATGCCATTGTCATATCTATTCCATTTCGTTTCATTGCGACCGTTTTGAATGAGTCGAGCAAAATTGCCATAAACCATTCGCATTCTAACATCAGTCATGCCACATTGGCTCGTACGTTCTTCGTTTATGCAAGAAAATCAGTTTGTGGAAGTGAAGAGACGAAGAATGAGAGAGAAGAAGAAAGAGAGGATAGAGAGGAGAGAGAGGTGGAAGAAAAAGAGAGAACGAGAGAGACAGAACAAGTATTTAAATGCTTGAATGCTTGAAATCATATCAGTAACGCATATTTCATTTATAATATATGTAAGTATAGCAAACACTAAACGGCTTCGGGCGTAACAATAATGCATGAATAGTTTGAGGTGTCTCTGTCGTTTTTTGGGCTTGCATGTCAGCTATTACATCAGATAACAATTGTAATCTCTTGGCTCTTTTTGTACTCATTAGAAATGATGAGATATTCTTGCGACTCGTTGCCCGTCAACGAAAAATCATCATACATCAAGTGCACACAATCCAAGTGATTTGACGAACGGCATACGTCTCATATACATCAAATGGCATGTGATGTCAACCGATTATGGTCGCATTCGTCCATATTTTATTGACATGAATACCATCTCATATCGTTTTATTGCCTTTTATAGTATGCAACTTGCAAAATGAGTCCGATTCCATCGAGTAGAATTATTGTACCTCGATGTAAGTGCCACTTGTGCGAGGAAAGGGCATTTAACCAATTGTATGACGAATTCATCGAAAAATTGCATTGAAATTAAAAGGCAAAGTCAAATGGAAAAGAAACACTCATTGTTTCAAAATGCTACTGAACATGCAGCTCGTCCCATTGTTCCAAGTCGGAACTTCCAATGCTATTATCGACATAAGAATCTAAGTAAAATTTAAAGT